AGACCTTCTATCTGCTGGTTCACTCCCCAAGAGGCCACAATGACCAGAGCCGAGCCGAAGCCAGGAGCCTGGAGCCTCTTCCGGGTCTCCCACGTGGGTGCAGGGTCCCAAGGCTTTGGGCCGTCCTTGACTGCTTTCCCAGGCCACAGGCAGGGAGCTGGACGGGAAGCGGGGCAGCCAAGATTAGAACTGGTGTCCTTATGGGATCCTGTCGTGTTCAAGGTGAGAACTTGAACCACTAGGCCATCGCACCAGGTCCAAATAATTTTTTAAAAGGCTGAAACTACACCTTCTGCAAAGGACAGGTCCTTTAAACTTTGTAAGTGATAGAACCACACAGTGGAATATTACTTAGCTGGGAAACATTCATCTACACTGTAGGCTTGTCAAAATCTCTCCCCTGTTTATGCTGAATAATGCCCCGTGTGATGGTACAACTCGCTCTGTGACAGGCAAGGCCTTGCTCTGGCTAGGAACAGGCGTATACAGGCTATGGGTCTATGCTTAACTTCTTTTCCTTTAAAAACAAAATTGTAAGGCAGACCAAGAGCTCCAACACCAGCCACAGCCCAACCCGGGCCAGGCTGAAGCCAGAAGCCAGGAATTGCATCCGGGTCTCCCATGAGGGTGTTGGGGACCCAGGTCTTTGAGGCAGCACTTGCTATACTGGCAGGCAGCTGGTTCAGGAAGCCAGGCGCTGTGATGACTCACGGTGTGCCCGGGGACTCTGCTTAGCGCCCCGATAGCCATGGCCGCGTCCTCCCCCCATCGGTGCTGCCAGCGGCTGGTTGTGTGGCTCAGTGGCTCGCTCTGTGGGACCCCCAGGGGCAGCAGGCCCGCGCCGTTACAATGACTTGGTGTTGCACGTCCTTGTCCACACTTGCTATTGTCAGTCCTTCTGTTCTTGGCAAGCTGATGGGTTTCATGCTTGTTTCCGTTCTAATTTCCCTAATGCTTACAAGCACCCAGCATTTTCTCGAGCTTATCAGCCGTTCACATACGCTGTTTTGTAACGTGTCCAAAGCTCTTGCCTACTTCTGAGCTGCTTTTTCTTTTTCATATTAATTATTTACTTCTCTAGATATTCCAGAGACAGGTCTCTTTTTTTCTTCAGTGTTTTTGACCTGATTTGTAATTTTTCTAGTGGTGCCTTTTTGGAAAAGCTGTTCCTACTTACTTGAAAGGTAAAGTTATAGAAACAAACAAGAGATAATCAGAGCTTCCATTCACTGATTCGCTCCCAAATGACTGTGTCGGGGCCCGGTGCAATGGTGTAGTGGCCAAAGCCCTCACCTTGCACACACCAGGATGCCATACAGGCGCCAGGTCTAATCCCGGCAGCTCCACTTCCCGTCCAGCTCCCTGTTTGTGGCCTGGGAGAGCAGTGGAAGCCGACCCAAAGCCTCGGGACCCTGCACCCATGTGGGAGGCCTGGAAGAGACTCCTGGTTCCTGGCTTTGGATCAGCTCAGCTGTGACTGTTTTAGCCACTTGGGGAGTGAATCAGCGGACAGGCAATCTTCCTCTCTGTCTCTCCTCCTCTCTGTATATCCAACTCTCCAATAAAAATAAATAAATCTGTAAAAAAACAAATGGCTGCCTGGCTGGAGCTGGGCCGTGTCAAGGCAGGAGCCAGCGGCCTCACCTGGAGGCAGGAACCTAAGGAACCTTCTGCCGCACTCCCAGGGACTTTGCAAGGGGCCTGGAGCACAAGTGGAGCAGCCAGGACCATCAGCCTCTGGGCAGCAGGGCCGGTCCCCAGACGAGAGCCTCTTACACCCCAAGAAGCCGTAGCCTCTTCAAAGGATGCAGAGTTTTCTCCAGCATTTTCTCCCAGATGTTGCAGGGCTTTTGCTTTTACATTCAGATCATAATCCATTTTGAGCTGATTTTTGTGTTGTGTAAGGTGGAGATTCAACTTACTTTTTTGGGGGGATATGTTTTATTATTTGAAAAAACAGACTTACACAGAGAGAGACAGAGGCGTTGTCCATTCACTGGTTTGCTCCTTACATGGCCACAGTGGCCAGAGCTGGAGCTTCTTCTGGGTGTCTGTCATGGGTGCAGGGAGCTGGAAGGGAAGTGAAGCAGCCGGGACTCAAACTGGCTTCCCACAAGATGACCGCTCAGCAGAGGGTAGCTTTGCCCACTATTCCGCAGGGTGAGTCCCTCAAATTAAATTTTTTAAAATATTTATTTTACTTTTATTGAAAAGTCAGATAGAGAGAGAGGAAGAGACAGAAAGGAAAATCTTCGGTCCGATGATTCACTCCCTAAGTGGCCACAACAGCTGGAGCTGAGCCGATCTGAAGCCAGGAGCCCAGAGCCTCTTCCGGGTCTCCCACACGGGTGCAGGGTCCCAAGGTTTGGGCCGTCCTTGACTACTTTCCCAGGTCACAAGCAGGGAGCTGGATGGAAAGCGGGACCATCAGGATACAAATCAGCAGCCGTATGGGAGTCTGGCACGTGCAAGGCAAGAACTTTGACCACCAGGCTACTCTGCTGGGCCACCTCAAATTAACTTTTAACTATGGCACACCAGGTTAAGCTGCCCTCTGTAGTGCCAGCATCCCATGTGGGCAACAGTTCAAATCCCAGCTGCTCTAATTCTGATCCAACTCCTTGCTAAACTCTGACTTTAGCCTGGCCTAGCGATCGCAGCCATCTGTGGAGTGAACCAATGGTCATAAGAATCTCTCTCTCCCTCTTCCTCTCTCTCTCTCTGTGTATCTTCCCCATGACTCTGCCTTTCAAATGAAACAAAATTAATCTTAATAAACAAATATTTAAGCATTTATTTGAGAGGTAGACAGAGAGCTCCCATCCACTGGTTCACTGTGGACGCAGCCATCTTCTGGAACAGGGGAGCTGGAAAAGCCGGCAAAGAATCGAGTCAGACCCGCCACAAACCTCACAGCAGCTCCAGAAACTGCCTCACTTGCATGTGCGGGTTAGAACTACAGAACCCGGAAGAAGACAGCAGGTAAAACCTGTACGGCCTTGGATTTGCAGTGTGTTTTTTTTTTTTTTTTTTTGAGCACAAGACCAAGAACAGCAACTACAAACCAAAAAAGAAAAAGGCAAGGCATTGTCCCAGGAAGGGAGGTGGCAACCGGGGCGTGGGGGAGGCCCTGGCCCCACAGGGTAGCCCGCCCCACAGTGTAGCCCGCCCCACAGGCAGTACAAACCCTACAGCTCTCCCCAAACCCCAGCAATGGGCACAAAGGCTTAGACAGGGCTGCTCAGGAACTTCCCTGTGAGGCCACCCCAGCTTTGGGACCCCATGCCACCTGAGCCCACCCCCATGCCCAGGGGTTACAGCCTGCCTGACGCCCCTGCCTCCACCCAAACCACCCCTGGTTCCTCTCTTTTTCTATATTTTCTGCTAAAAATGATCTTTTTGATCATGACTCAATCTTCACTTTTTAAATGTAATATGTATTTATTTAGAAAGAGTCAGAGAGAGAGAGAGATGGAAAGACATAAAAGAGATCTTCCATCTGTTGGCTGACTCCCCAAATGGACACAACGGCCAGAACTGAGCCAGGTGGAAGCCAGGAGCTTCATCCGGGTCTCCCACATGGATGCTGGGTCCCAAAGCTTTGAGCCGTCCTCTGCCGCTCTCCCAAGCCACGAGCAGGAAGCTGCATGGGAAGTGGAGCAGCCGGGACTTGAACCAGCATCCTTAGGCGGCGTCCATGTTGCTGGGCAGCAGTTTATCTATTAGGCCACTCACCCTCACTTTGAACAAAGCCTGGTTATCCCGGGCCCCGGCCACAGGGGATCCAGAGGGCCCACCCCTCGGCTCCCTCCCACCTTCTCCTCTCACCCTGGCTCATGGCCAGCCCACCAGCACCCCCGATCCTGCCTCTTATCCTGCTGTATCCAAGTGTGCTCGTGCTGAGGCCTGGGTGACACTTAGCAGGTAAAATGTGTCCCACAGTACCAGGACTATGACCTGGCCCAGATGGGAAGTGAGGCGCTGGGGCCCAAGCTTCAGCAGGATGCACGGTGTCCCTGGGGTCTGCAGCAGACACCCCCATGGGCACAACACACGGGTGGGTGGGTGGGTCAGTGGGTGCCAGGGCCCAGGAGTGAGCATGACTCTGAAGTGAGGACATTTTGTGAAGGATGCTCTTGGAGACAGAGCCGCCTGCTCCACCAACTGTCCCCAGGGCGGGTCCCAGGGTCACACAGCTCCAGGAAGAGCCCTGAGTTGAGCTGTACGTGAGGGCTCAACCCCAGCCCCACCTGACCCCTGGCTGCCTCGTCCTTTCTGATTTCTCAGGAAAAAAAAAAAAAAAACAACAACAACAACAACAGCAACACATCTATATACCACCGCCACCACCCCGCAGCCAGGAAGCATCGATCATGCGCTGTCCAGGGCCAGCCGGAGGGGCAGGGGTCAGCAGGGCGGCGACCTCCAGGCCTCCGTGCCGAGCAGGATCCGGCAGGGCTGGGGGTGACAGGCTGGACATTTTCCCACCCTGAGATTTTCCTGCGTCAACCCAGGAGGGCGCCCTGGACGCCGCCCTACCCCCAACCTCCTTCCTCTCTAGCCAGCCGCTTCCCAGCCCTCAGGATGCCTGCCCAGGGTCCGAGGCGGGAGCCACAGGGCCAGCCTGGGCAGCGGTGTGGGCGGGACAGGGCCGGCTGGAGCCTGCCCGCAGCCACTACCCGGGCCCCGGGCAGCGGTGTCCTCCCTCCCGGACACTTGGACCCCAGCCCACCCTGCAAGGAGCCCTTGGCCCTGGGCCCTGCCCCAGGCCCTTCCTCCCCGCAACACTCAGGACTCAGCCCTTCCTTGTGTTAAATAGAAACCTCTTTATTCTAAGTATCGAACATTCCTTAATACACTGGATGGGGGCCAGACCTTGAGGTGAGGGGAAAGGGGGGAGGGTGGGCTGGGATATTTCTGTAGAAGCTTCCAGAAGGCCACCCCCCCCACACACACTCTGCCTCCACCTCCTCCCACACAGGGCTGTGGCGGGAGGAGGTGCTGGGAAGGCGGCCTTGGGCAGCAGGGCTGTGTCCCTGCTTGAGGGCACAGCAGGGACGCCTCAGTGCTGGGCCCGGGGCCGCCGCGGCAGGCAGGCCAAGCTGGGCCGCGACAGCCGAGTGAGGGGCAGGCGGCCCAGAAGGAAGGGGAGACCAAGGCAGAAGGACGGACGGGGCACTGGGATGTCGGCAAAGAAGGCACGGTCCCGCGGCGGGGCCAGGGCAGCCCCTTCGGAGAGCTCCAGGTCCCGGGCCACGGCCAGGATCTCCTGGCGGGCGGCAGTGCTGCGCAGGCCGCGGATGTCCAGCAGGGCTGCCACATGCTTTCGCCTGCAGAAGAAGGCGGCTCAGGCCCCGGAACACCCAGCCCTCCCTGCCCACCCCAGCTGCCCTTTGCAGAATTTCATCGCCAACCACCTATAGGCCCCTTCGCTTCCAACCCCACAGCCAAGGTCCCAAATCATCCCCAGATTTGACTTCACTCCAACCCATCCCCAGAATTCTATGGGAGACCCTCTCTCCCACAACAATCAGGCTCCACCACAGCTAGGGGCTGCAGCCTGGACCCCAGCTCACCCATCCTGGACCCTACCCTACCCCCTATAGCTCCAGGCGCCCCGGCACCCACCCTAACTGCACCTCAGCTCAAGAATTCTCCATGCAGACACAGCTCTGGAACCTTCTCCCCACCTTAGCTCACCTCAGCTGTGTCCAGTAGGTAATCCCCACTGCCCCCTCCAAACCCTTGTCCACCAACACCTGCCAGAGGACCCAGCCCCAAATTTCTGCTGCCCCAATCTTGGCTCCATTTCAAGATCTGATCGCAAGGGGTCCCCCGCCTGGCCGATGCCAGTCCAAGCAGGCTCCCTTGAGTTGGCAACCTCAATCAGCTGAAGCCTGGCACCCACCTCTTTGCATGCCCCCCCCCCCCCGGCCCAGTGGCTCCATCTGCCATGCGGTGCCTGGTTCCCTGGCAGCAGCCCGGGCTCAGCTCTGCCACCTGCTGGCTGTGGCACTTGGGACCAGCTCCTGCCAGCCTCCCTCGAGCTCGTCCACCTTCCTAACCTCAGATAGCCTCAGCTTCAATGCCTAACATCCCCGGGGGAGGGGGGGGGGACGACGGATGAGGAAACTGAGAGTCCGGCCATGCCAGCGTGCCCATGCATGTCCCTGGGTCCCCACGGCTCCCTGCCGGGCCGGCCCTTCCTGCCGCCGGCCAGCCCAGCGTCCCCCCTGCCCCAGGCTTCCTGTGACAGCCTGTTTGTTTGCGAGCCCTGGTGGCAGTGGCGGCGGCGACCGCGGCGGTAGAAGGAGGGAAATCGTATTAATAATGCCTGGTTCCCGCAGGAAACGGCCGTCAGACACGCTCGCCGCCGCCCGCCCTGGCCCGCAGAGCAGGAAACGCGGGCTGGCCGCCAGCGCCCACAGCCCGAGCCAGGCGAGCCAGGCGGCAGGCGGGCAGGGCCTCACCTGATGTCGGGGTAGTCGCGCACCAGCACCCCCACCTCCACCTGGATGCTGGGTGTATCTTCCAGCTGCAGGACCTCGGCCAAGTGGGGCACCACGGCGTCCAGCCACAAGGCTTGGGACTCCTGCGGGGAGAACCCAGTTTCACACCCTCGCCCCCAGGGTGTCCCCGCATCCTAGCCTTGGCCTACTCTCGTTGCTCCTGACCTCAACTTTTCCATCTGTAAAAGGGGCCAGAGTGCAAACTAACCCGAGGCGGGAATCTGAAGGAAGGGTCGGAGGGGGTCCCTGGACCTCATTTCCCAGGGGAGGAAGCGCCCAATGAACCACGTGTGGCCCTGCAGGGGTCCTTATGCCAACCGACTGCCCACCCCCCGGGGGGTCAGCACTGACCAGGCGCCGGAACAGCCTCTGCAGCTGCGCCGCGTCCTCCCGGAGCCTCCCGGCCACACGGCTGCGGGTCCGCGCCGAGTGGCAGCGCAGGCGGCCACGGAGCAGGGGCCGCACGTACTCGACCAGCGCGCGCCGGTGCAGCTCGGCCACCAGGGCCTGGGGGCCGCAGAGAAGGGGTGAGGTTAGAGCCTGCCCGACGTGGGTTGCCAGGACCCCCACCTCCCGCGCGGTCCCCGTACCCCGCCGCGCGCACCTGGTAGGGCTCGTCTTGCATGCGGCGCAGCGCCAAGGCTTGCGCGCCCAGCGTGCTCACCACGCCGTCCAGGGCTTCAGAGCTGCTCAGCCACTTCCTGCGCATGAGCTTGCTGAAGTGCGGCTGTGGGGGACGAGGAAGAAGGGGGCGTCAGGGCTCTGCTTCCCCCACACCCTGTTCCCTTCTGACTCACTGGTGCGGGAGACCACTGGGTTGGGGGTCAGCCACTGCCTGCCCTCGCGGGCCTCTCAGTCCAGAGCCAGCGACAGAGTGGTCCCTGCACAGTGCCCACCCAGGGCTGGCCTGCCGGAACAGGCAGTGAGGAAGCAGTGAGGCTCGCTGGGGAGCCGTGACGGGCTCTAAGCAGGGCAAGGCCGAAAGGAGGGACTTGAGGGGAGGGGGAGGGGGATGCAGCTGAACGCACAGGTGCGGTGGGCGACCGCCTGGGGGAGGAGAGGGAAGGCCAGGGAGCCTGTCCCAGAGATGGCCAGGAGCCGGGAGTGGACACAGGCAGGATGAACCCAGGTGTCTGAGCAGCGCCCCCTCTATTCCTGACAGCATCCCAGCTGCCCAAAATGCCACCATGTCCCAGGATGCCAGCCCCACACCTGATACTGTCGCGTGCACATACACACGCAAGCACACCTACGGCCTTCTCGCACCCTTGCAGTAACACGGTTTCTCGAGGGCGGGGAGAAACAGAACCTCGGATGACTGGGGCTGTGGTGGAGGGCAGTGGGGTGGGCGGAGGAGGACCGGGGACACAAGTGATGTGGCAGTTCATCAGCTTAAAAGGATGCTTCCCCGTGCCCGGTACAACAGCCTAGTGGCTATAGGTGCCAGTTCGTATCCCAGCTGTTCTGCTTCCCATCCAGCTCTCTGCTTGTGGCCTGGAAAAGCAGTTGAGAACAGCCCAAAGCCTTGGACCCTGCACCCACATGGGAGACCCAGAAGAAGCTCCTGGTTTCTGGCTTTGGATTGGCTCAGCTCCGGCCATTGCGGCCACTTGGGGAGTGAACGGGCAGATAGAATATCTCTCTCTTCATTCTGTAAATCTGACTTTCCAATAAAAATAAATAAACCTTTTAAAGTTTAAAAACAAAAAAAAAGGTTGATGTTGGGGGAGGGGGGAATCTTGGGAAGATGCCTTGGGGAGCTTAGCTCGACATTGGGCCTAGGGTTGAGTCCCAGCCCTGACCGCTCACTGGAGCTCCCAGCTGACACCCCCGCTGGGCGGCTGCAGCAGTGGCTCCAAGGACAGACAGTCCACCCTGCCCCAGCCCAGCCTTGGCGGCTGTGGGCATTTGGGGAGTGAACTAGAGGACGGCAAATCTCCCTCTGTTTCTCTGCCTCTCCAACAAACAAAAACAAATTTTTAAAAATGGATTTTGTTTAAATAAAAGAATTCCACAGCAGGGGAGGGGAGGAGCTGGAGCACAATTGACCAGAACTGACACTTGCCAGCTCGGCGATGCGTCCGCAGGGGTCATCGCGTGTCACTCTGCCCGCTCAGGGGACCAGGCATTTGAAATTTTCCACGCTAAAAAGTTATTTCTGGAACATTCCAACACTCTTTCCCCCCCCCCCACCCCAACACCGGGCTCTGAGGGGATGACATTCCAGAGTCAGGAAGCAGATTTTTTAAAAAAAGAAGAAGAAAAAAGCAAAGGCCACAGCAGGACAGGTGACCCAGGAATTTGACCCTCACATGCGGCCATCCGGGAAGGGGCACTTGGGTCAAGACTTGCCAGAGGTGAGAGAGGGGCCGCACGTTCAAAGGGCCTGAGGCAGGAATATGCTGTGTTAAAGCAAGGGGCTGGTGGGGGGAATGGGAGGGAAGAGCATGGCAGAGGCGAAGCTGGAGAGAGGGGACAACGGGCAGTGGGGGGACTGCTATGCCAACAAGGACGGCCACACACACTGCCACCTCCTCCCCCCAGGACGGCACTCGCCTCCATCTTTGAGCCTGGCTCCCAAGGTGGGGGAGGGGAGCTCCAGCAGCCTGGGCAGAGATCCGGGGGTACCCTCGGTGATGGGAAGCAGCTCTTCCCAAACCCGGCTGGCTGGCCATATCCTCCCATCTCTTCCTTCCTCCACATTCCCCACCCCCTCCCCCGCCTGTCACCCCCACTACCGCCTGCTTCCCGAACACTGACTCATGGGCTGAGGGGAACTGTGGGATGGGGGTGCCATCTCAGGGGACCCCATCTCCCTCACCTGCAGCTCCTGGAACAGCAGGTCAGCCAGGACCCGGTGGCACAGCCGGGTCACGCGGTCCAAGGCACTGACCGAGGCTTCCCGGGCTGGCTCACTCTCAGGGGGGCCCACCCTGGCCAGGCGCTCCGCCAGAGCCCTGGAGGAGGACAGCATAGCCGAAGGTCAGGGGAACCCAGATTCTCCACACAGGGTTGGACTGACAACCTTTAAGGGACCCTTATTGTGGGGGTGCAGGGGTGGCAGGTCAGATGGGGAGTTGCTGGGAGGTTGGGGTGTCAGAGATCAAGAGGAAGTGGACACATCTGGGGGAGTCCAAGATCTCTGAGGGTGAGTAAGGAGGACCCTGTGCCCCAAGGTTGATTTCCAAAAGGGACAGGTGGGACATCCTCCCTTCTCACGCTGGTCCCCCCTACCCCGCCCTTCCCTCCCGCTCCAGGGATTCCTGGCCAAGTCCTGACAGCTGCCCTTGCAGAGGCCCCTCACTGGAAGAAGGCACCATGCAGGGCTGTGCCCTGCCACAGCCAGCCCTGCACCCCGAGGACCTGGGTACCTCAGGGCAGCTGTCCCCCAACTCCCACCCCACCCCCACACCTTAGAGGCGGCCCACAGTTGACAAGCGCAATGGTCCTGCTGATGTAGGTGTCGGCCGGCAGCTCCCGCACTCCGGGGTTCTCGTGGAATCGCTCCACCCTTTGCTGGAAGCTGGAGCCGAGGGGGGGGGGGCAGTTGGTCGCAGTGGGCGTCAGGGACAGGGTCAGGCCACCGGCTGGGCACCTGGCCTGCCAGGGTCTTCCCTCTCCACCGCCTGCCTCTCCTCCCCGCCCCAGCGAGGGCCCACTATCCCACCCCTACTTACCTCTGCAGGAACTCAGCCAACCCCCCCAAGCAGCAGTGGGCCATCCGCTCTCCAAACTCCTGGCTGATGCGGGGTGCCCGCTCCGTGTGCTCCTCCAGCAGCTGTGTGGAGCAGGGGATGGGGGCAGGGATGAGAGGAGGCAGGCAGGGGGTCCCTCTCCAGCCCCCACAGAGGCACGCATCGGCCAGCCTGCAGCGTCCAGGCCCCAACCTCCTGCCTACCTCGCACACGTCCTGGGCCAGGCTGCAGGGTGGGTCCTCCGGGCTGGCCCAGTGCTCCTCATCTTCCTGAAGCGCCCGAAGGAGGGCACCCCGCGTCTGCGCCTGCAGGGAGACAGGCGGTGGTGGGCGGCTGCCCGAGGAGGACTGTTCCTGTACTCATTCCTTCCAACCCCCAACACACCCTGGTGCCCTCAGAGTTCTGCTTGACTCCCAAGAGTTCGGAACTCCTGGTCTTGGGGTGATGGTAAGTGACTGGGGGGAGAGGCCGCCTAGGACAGCTGCTCCAGCCCCTCCTGCTGCTGTGTGGGAGTGCAGAGCATGCCCTATGGCTCTGAGCTGCCTCCAGCACCCAGGTGCCTGCAGGCTGTGTGTGTTCTATGGGTCATGGTCGTGAGAAGTCTGGATGCCAGGGCTTGTGCCCCCCGCCCGCCAGCGGCAGGCGCCTGCGCAGTGCTTGTTTTTAGCCATGCCTGTTCCTCTGGGGCCTTGGAGCCCACTCAGGCTGAGGCCTTGCCTGTCTGTCTTGTGAAAGTCAGTGGAGGATGTGAGGCACTGAGGATTGGGGTGCGGTGCTGACCCCACACAAGATCAGAGCGGGCTTCTGGTCAAAACACAGCCATTCCCAAAGGGAAAAGCAGATGGACAGGGAGGAGGGGCGCCCCTCTACAAAACCTCCCACCCGCAGATCAGCAGCACCCCAGGGTCCGGTACCTTCACGTCTGTGACACATTCATCCTCCAAGGTCCTCAGGGTGCTGGCAGACAGAAGGGGTCCCAGTTCCCCGTTCTCCAAGGCGACCATGTCCACCAGCCCCAACACCTCCCTGGGGACAGAGTGAGAGGCAGAGTTGCAACCCACGCCCCCAGCCCCACTGTGTCTCAGCCCCGGGCCACTCCCTTCCTCTCCTGCATCCCTCCGAGGAAGTCTCTGGAACCTGGAGTGGCTCCCCTGGCTCCAGCTCTGAGTCAGCTCCCTGATGGATGGTTCCGGGCAAGACTCATAGGAGTCAACTGCAAGGCCTTGCCTGCGATTACCCTCACCGGCGGGGAGCTCGCCAGCACCCGGGCCTCCATGGCCTTCCCGCTGCTCCCTCCTCCATCCCCTGCTGTAGGCGCTGGCCTGTCAAGGCCGCCAGCCCTCTCCATCCACCTGCACTCAGACCTGGCCTTCCCAGCATCAACAGCTCCGTGACAAACATCACCTCCCTGTAAATAAGGCCTTATCCAGATCCCTGGCCCTGGCGGACAGCGCCTGAGTGGGCAGCTCGGGGGATGACCATGGTCACACTGCTGCCAGCCCACCTCCCCGGGGCCAGCATCCCACTTCACCCCTCCAGCTGTGGTTTGCCTGCAAGTCCCTTCCTTTGCTGAGCACAGCCAACCCGCCACCACCATCCCCCACCCTTAAAAGAGGTGTCTTTTAAGACTCAGGGCTACGTTGTTAGGGACTACAAAATTGCAGGGCAGATGGTGCTGAAACTGTGGATGCTATAGCGATGGAATTCAAGGGCTCAGGGGCTGAGGCTGTGACATGGTGGGAGGAACCACAACTTGCAATGCTGACATCCCATGGGGCGCCAGTTTAAGTCCGGGCTGCCCCACTTCCCATCCAGCTCCCTGATTGATGCCTGGGAAAGCAGTCAAGGACGGCCCAAAGCCTTAGGACCCTGCACCCACATGGGAGACCCAGAAGAATCTCCTGGCTCTTGGTTTCAAATCTGCTCAGCTCCAGCCATTGCGGCCACTTGGAGAGTGAGCCAGTGGATGGAAAATCTTTCTGTCTCTCCTTCTCTCTGTGGGTCTGGCTTCGCAATAAAAATTTTAAAAAGAAAAAAAAGAAGCCCCCCCCCCAGTCCTGCTTGGGAGGACTGTACATGTAACACCCAAGGATCCAGAGAGGGGATGGCTCACATTCCAGCTGGGCAGCTGGTGGCAGGAGGCCTGGACAAAGCTCTGGGCTGACAGGCCAGAACTGGGCAGCTGAAAATCCTAGGTCTGCTGAGACCTTGGGTGGGGCTGAGACCCCCATCCCTCAGCCCCCACGCTTGTACTTGGCCGCAGCTTGGGCCTCTGGCTCCCACCTGCAGCTACCTGCCTAAGCAGACCCTGAGGCCACGAGTTGAGTGTGTGCCAGCCGGCTCTTTTCTTATTGCGACTCTCAAATACATCAATAAATAGGTTGGGGCGGGGAGAGGGGTGGAGTCAGCGCTGAGATTTTGGGAGCATGGCGCTACAAGGGTCAAAGATGTGGAAATTTTAGAAAGATGCTAAGATTTTTAAAAGCAGAAATGCGAGGCTGCGTTCCGGCCGTGAGTGCTGACCTGCCAGGGCTGCCCGCCTGGGGTCGCGGGGAAGCCCAGGTGACAAGCGACAGCTCTGACAGGCTAGGGTTGCGGGGAGTTCTGGGATCCAAGGGTTTTACCGGGTCCCAGGTCCCCGGCGCTATCAGGTAGCCAGGGCTGGGAGGTGTGGGAGGGAGGCTGGGGTCCCGCTCACCTGGGGTACACCTGGTTGTGCCAGTGCAGCAGCGCATAGCGGTCCGCCAGTGGCAGTCGCCGGCGGGCGGACGCTCCCAACCACTCGGCGAGCGCGCCGTGGTAGCCGCGCAGGTAGACGCCGAAGGCGCCCAGGCCAGCGGGGTAGGCGGGCGCCAGACGACCCCGCACCACGGCCATATCTTCCAGCAGCCGTGCCCGCAGAGCCTCCAGCTGAGCGGCCAGACCCCCGGGAGCCCCGGGCGCTGCCGCCTCCAGGCGCTCCCGCGCCGCGCGCGCCACGGCCTCGGCCCAACGGGCACGCAGCTTGCGGGCAGCCCCGGGTCCCCGGCGTCCGTCGGCCGCCTCCTCCTGCACCAACACTTGACCCAGCTGTGCCACGATGCCCGCCCCGGCGCCCGCGCCGGGCCCGGGGCCAGCCAGGGTCTCGCGCACTAGCGCCCACAGCTCGCGCTGCAGGGCCTCATAGAGCAGCGCCACGTCCCGCGCGCGGCGCCCTCCTCCTGCGCCCTGGGCATTCGGTGGCCCCGGGGCGCCGCCCCCGGACGACGCCAGTTCCTCGGCCTCTAGCTCCAAGATGTGCTCGTCCGCGCGAGCCAGCTCGCGCTGCTGGATCAGGCTCAGGATCTCCAGCACTGTGGGGGCGAGGTGGGAGGTCAGCGGGGGGCCCAGCCCGGGAAGAAGGAAGCAGCCGGGCAGGTGCGGGCAGGCGGGGCGAGAGGGGGAAGCTGAGGCCGAGAGGGGTAGGGGTGGGGGCCGGCAAGGAAGACGGGGTCGCTGGCGAAATGGGGAGGGGTGTGTGAGGGAGCTGTGGAGGTGGGTGTAGGACCCAGCCCTGGCGAGGGGGTTGAGGGTCCGCGAAGGATGGGGACAGTCAAGGTCAGGAAGTTGGGTAAGGGGGGGGGAACTGAGGGGCTGGAGCAGGAGCAAGAGAGGGGGTTAGAAAGGAATGGGGCTCGGATACCCAGGGGCAAGGTGGGGACTTGGCCGTGGGAGGGAGCGGGCAGCTGTGGGGTGCTGGGCTGCCCCGTGGGGTCAAGGCTACCCCAGGAATGGGGAGACACGAGTGAAGCAAGGCCCAGAGGGAGGGGGTGTCGGGTGGCCCAGGGTTACCCTCACACCTCCACCCCCCCTCCACTTCCTCCCTGGCAGAGAAACTGTTTCCTGGCCGGCGCTATTTCTGCCCATCCGTTTCCAGAAGGCGGGGCTCCAGTCACCCCCTGCTCTCCAACCCCCACCCCTCGCGGTGCCTCCCAGTCCCCAGGGAGCTGGGGCTGAAATAGCCTCTGGCCAGGATGTGGAGGGCATTGGAGGATGGGCGGGGGTGGGGGGCGCTGACGGAGTCCCCCGTGTTAGGGGTGCTGGATGGTGGGAGGCACACAGGGGACCTGGAGCTGAGTTCAGGTGATAACTGTTCTGGCACCGGGTGAGGAAGGAGGCCCTGGGACTGAGCAGACACAGCCAAGATGCCCGCGTGAGAGTCTGGGGTTCGGATAAAGTTGGGGTGGGGTGTGCAGAGGAGGCAGAGATGGAATTAAGCACAACTGGAGGTGTGGAGAGGAGGCCGCTGGGGACAGAGCTGAGAATGGACATTGTAGATGAGCGTTCGGACAGGGACCTGGGATGGCGGTGGTGGCGGTGGAGTTAAGGATACAGAGGAGGTGGGGCTTGGGGTTGGAGGTGGCAGTGGGGATTGGAGAGGGTGAGTCTGCCTGGGCCTGTGGTGGGTGCTGAGGTGGGGTCCCAGAGAGGAAGGGGAGGGGGGCAGAGTGTGGCAGATGGTGCTGGAGGGAAGGAGAGAGGGCGAAGCTGTGTGTGGAGCCCGAGGGTACAAGGAAATGTGGGGATATGGGTGTGGAAGTGGGATGCTCTTAGGGGGCCGCGGGAAGCCCTCAGCCCCTGAGACTCAAGCCGGCACCATGATGGAGGCCATCAGTGGGGTCAGAGGGCAGGCCCAGGGCCTTCCATATCCTTCCCAAAATGGACAGTTGTATCCTCATGCCGAAAGAAAGTTGTAGAGACAGATGCCTCTTGGTGTGAAGGGGAATCGTGGAAGCCCAAGACTCCTGCAGCTGGCACAAGTGTGGGAGAGGAAATGGGGGTCCCCAGCAGGTTTTAGGGGGCCATGGGCATGAGTCCGTGCTTCAGAGCTGGGAGACTATCTGGGAATAGCAACTCAGGCAAGACTCACACATACGATGATAGATTTGGGGGTGACGGCGGTGAAGGATGGGCACAGGAGAGTTCAAAGGTCAAGTCTGGTAGGGTTGGAGACTGGGAAGGGATTTGGGAAGAGACAGGACCAAAGCTAGGGCCCACTAGGGAAGGGTGAAGATTGGCAGGTGGAAAGGAGGGGGGATGGGGCGGAGTGAGTGGGAGGAGCTGCAGGTGCAGGTGGGTGTGGCCAGGTGCGGGAGGAAAGATGCAAGTAGACGGGCAGGAGTGAGGCACCACTCACCTGACAGCGGCTCCTTCATCTTGGGGGGCTCGGGGACCTTGGGCGGGGGCTCCGGAGCCGCCTCGCCCGCAGGCACCACCCTCTCGGCCAAGGACGCGCGCCGGGGCTTGGGTCCCCGGCCCAAGCGCAGAAAGGCCAGCCTGCGGGCCGCCTCCTCCTCACCGGCCTGACCGCGGCTGCCCTGAAGCCGCGCCAGGAGCCCAAAGTCGGCAGAGCTCCTGCGCAGCCCCGGTGCCAGCACCCGGCCCAGAAAGGAGCGGGGTTGCCCATCCCCGGGGCTGCCCACCCGGCGGCCCGGGGTCCAGCCCAGCCGGAAGGGGGCCAGGCCTGCCAGCTTCTCCAGGGTGGCACGGCGGCGACAGGACGTCCCATTAGGCAGGCTCCCTGGCTCCCCTGCGGCGTCTTCCAGCCCCGGCTCATCGAAGGGGTTCCGAGAAGAGCGGAGGGGCAGCGTCCCTGCCCGGGACGCCTTGGGGTCTGGCACCCCTGGGCTCTTCAGGATGGGCATCTCGGCAGCAACAGTGGGCACCTGGGGGAAGCAGTGACCATGGGCACTGAGCACCCTAGGCTGGACTCTCATTTCCTGCTGTGCCCACGCAGTCCCACCAGGGAAGTCCACTTTTGGCCAATGAGGTGATTTGGGGTCAGAAGGGGGAGGCACCTGCAGCAGGGACCCTGGAATAGAGCCTGGATAAGCACCCACGCCTGACTGATGATGGCAGTGCCCAGAAGCTTCCAGAAGCTTCCACGCTCAGCCTCCTCCCTGGCCCCCCGCTGCCTGACAGCCAGGAGCAACATGCACCTGTGGCATGGGTGGTCTTGGTACCCTCCTGCCCCACAGCGGCAGGGGCAAGGGAGTCAGTCCGGAGGGGTCAAGCCTAATTCCCTAGGTGGCGCAACCCCTACCACCTCCCTGTCCAGCTCTGTCTTGTCCGTCATTAAGTCAGCTGATTCGCCAGGAGTGACTGCCCAGGGTAGGGGGGCGGACTCCCGGGGAGGGGCAGCAGCCTGGTGCATGTGTTAAATGCCACAAGAATTCAGGCTGTAGGGAGGCTTGTAGGTATAGACTGGACATTGGTGACAGTGAAGCATCCCACCAGGGGCCCCACCCTGTACAGGCACAGGGGACACTGTGGTGGCCATGGCCAGAGCCTGTGCCCTCCCAGGGCTCCTGGACTCCCTAATGAGCCTTCCTCTAAGCCCCCCTCTCTTCCCATGGCCCAGCGCCCTCCCTGGTCTCCAGCCTCCCGTCCTGTCACCTCTGTCCACCTCTGGGGACACAGACAGCACAGGCCTGCCGCTGCCCATCTGCCAAGTCTTCTGTGGCTCCGCCAAGGCCCTGGCCCCTCACAACTCCCACCCCACATCCTCCTCTTCCTCCTTCCTCTGAGCCTGAGCATCGGCTGGCCTTCCAACACAAGACTGTCTTGCCACCTCCTCCAGGATGCCCTCCCCCAGGACTCCCAGACCAAGTGCAGTGTCCTCTCCATGTGCACATCCCTGTGCAACCTGGAAGGATCAAGAGACAGGTCTGCATGCCTCCACGGAGTCAAGGGCCCCCCTCGATCAGCACTGTGTCCACGGCTCCCCAACCAGGGGCAGGCACTCAGGGCATGGGTGCTAAACAGGAAACGCAGGAAGGAAGGAGGCACGACATGCATCCCGGGGTGGCGGGGGGGCTCAACTGCCCAAGGCAGAGGGAGCAGGCCACACGGGGGGCCTGGCCCCCCACCCAGGGTGGGGGGTTGCTCCGAAAAGAACAGCTAGGGCACCAAGCAGAGTGTAGCAATCAGACGGCAGCAGTCGCGGCCCCACCACAGGCCGGTTAGACATTGCCTCAAGGAGCCCAGCCGGCCAGTGCCCTGTGACCCCATCCCCTTCTCTCAAGAAGCCCCTCTCCCCCATCACCACCGGCATCCACACAGGGGCCCAGACGGGCCTGTCTGTCATCTCTGTCTCAGGTGGGGGGAGTGGGATCCCATACCTGCTCCCTCAACAGAAGCCCCCTCACCAGACAGCCCTTGGCCGCGGACAGTAAGCACCGCATGCTACTCCACCCCGTGACTTGTGACCAGGCAGCATCCTCTCACCTGCCTCAGGTCAGGGTCAAAGGTCAGGGGTGTGCAAGGGTGAGGGGTGAGGAGGTGGGAGGAGGCGGGGGCCCTGAGCTGGCTGGCGGGCATCACAACGCCCTGCAGTTGCTTCCCAGCCTCCTTGCTCCTGCCAGCTGCAGCCCGCTGACCTCTGATATCCCAGAGTGGTAACATCAAGGCAGCCTCTGGCCTGGAGCCCCCTGGCCGGGAGCCCCCTGGCTGGTCACACCCTCTGAATCCACAGAAGGTACCCAGGAACTTCTGTCTTTACCCCCAAAAGCTGCAACCCTGCCCCCACCCAAGTGGCTTCTAGTTGCCCTCACTCCCATCGGGTTTGCCATCCCCACCCCCCACTGGCGCCAGCATCTTGCCCAAACCGGATCCAGTACCCACACCCCCAAACCTCCACCACCTCCACATGGGTCCCAACGCCTTTCCCCTTCCTGGCCCCTATACCCCTCTGCAGACAGGGCCCCCACATCCTGCCCCCTGGCCTGCCTGCCCGTGCCCAGCCCCTGACTCACTTCCGAGGCATCCCTGGAGCCCCCCGCCCGCCTCCGGCTCCCACAGGATGTCTTTCTTCGCCACCAGGGTTTTCCTCCCCAGCCCCTCCCCCTCTCTGCACAGTCGGCCCCTTGCCCCTTCACTCCCTCTCCCCAAGCCCAGGCCATGCAGCCCCCAACCTGGTCTCCCCACCTTGCTGGAATCGGCCCAACCTAAGCCAGCGTGACCCATGTCCCCAGTCCCGACCCTGTCCCCGGGTCCTGCTCCTGCCCGCTCGCCTCCTGAGGCCTCAGTCTTGCCCTGTGGCCTCCGGGGGTAGCAGCCCCACGTTCCTGTCCCTGGGGTACCTCCCTATCCCCCCCTGCATCTTTGCTCTCGCTCCTGTGCACCCTCCACTCTGCCCGCTGGCTGGCACCTTCCGGGGTCACCTTCTTTCTGGCTCCCGGCCACCCCAGGCTGGGGCAGCCTGCCTACCCCCAGGCAGGGGCTCTGGGAGACGTGGGTCCTCACCTCCCCTAGGCACACTCACCCCGATCCTCCGTGCCCCGTGTCTGTGTCCTTGCTGCTCTCGTGTGCCCTGGCCACCGTGGCCAGCACTGCCGAGAGCTTGGATTTGGGGGGTGTTGCTTGGAGGAGGACAATTTCCTGTCAGGAAACCCCTCCCTCCGTGGGCCAGGGGCGGGAAGGGCGCATTATCTGTCTGCCCTTGCAGCGGGGCTGGGACGGACCTGGGCCTGCAGCCCAGCCCCGCCCACTCTTCACGCCTGTTGAGGTGCCAACACCATCCTGGGCACCCTGGGGAGATTCCCCGGCCCCTGCCCGTGCTGCACTCCAGCCCCCAGCGGCCAGCAGCCTTGGGGCTGGATCTGGTGTGTGGTCCTGGGAAGTCATCCCCCCGCCAGGGCTCTGTGCAAGTTGAAGGGGAAGGAGGGGTGGGATTGGACAAGAGAGTTCTCCAGCTTCAGAAGCTGGGACTGGGGGCCGCTAGGTGTGGCTCTGGGGCTGGAGCCCCCTTAAGCTCCTTCGACCTTTGCTCTCAGGCCCCTCTCTGTTCTCCCGAGAGGAACAGGTGCCTCTGCTCTTGTGCCCCAGTGTCGGTTCACCAAGCCGACCTTAAAAAAACAATGATATATTTGAAAAGCAGAGTGATGCGAGACTGACATCCTTTGCAGCAGCCTGGCCAAAGCCTGTAGCCCCACATGGGCATCCTTGCTGCCAGTGTGTCAGCAGGAAAGCGGCTGGTGAAATGAAGCGGCTCGGAAGGGGGGCAGCCAGGACCCTAATGGGCCCTCTGACACGGGTGGGGGTGGGGCACAGTGACTTAGCTCACAGCACCACTGCGCCCCTGGTGAATGGGGGGGTAGTGGGAGCAGGGTTCCCATCCTGCTTGGAGGGGCTGTCACCTACTGGCTTGGGCATAGCTAGGGTCAAGGGTCACACCTCCTCTCCCACCCCAGAGGCTGTAGGGGAAGTGGGTCAGGGGTTAAGATGCCAAGGACTGGGCCCGGCGTGGTGGCGCAGTGGTTAAGTCCTCGCCTTGCACACCCGGGATCCCATATGGGCGCCAGTTCTAATCCCCGCAGCCCCGCTTCCCATCCAGCTCCCTGCCTGTGGCCTGGGAAAACAGTCGAGGACGGCCCAAAGCTTTGGGACCCTGCACCCGCGTGGGAGACCCGGAAGAGGCTCCTGGCTTCGGGTTGGCATAGTATCGGCCGTTGCGCTCACTTGGGGAGTGAATCATCGGACGGAAGATCTTCCTCTCTGTCTCTCCTCCTCTCTGTATATCCGCCTTTCCAATAAAAATAAATAAATCTTTAAAAAAAAAAAAAAAGATGCCAAGGACTGCGGGTCTGAAGTTCCTGGACAATGGGCTGTGGAGGAGGGGCTGGGGACCACCAGGGATCTACCATGCCGCCTTCCCCAGTTTCTAACATGCTAAATGGTGCCCTCCAAACACCCTAAAATGGTAAGGGTCTGGGGGGAGCTCAGCATGGGGACCAGGTGGGGACCACCAGTACCACTAAGTCCAGGAGGGGGTTATCAGCCCTGGAGGAAATCCTTGAGCCATGGCAGGCTGGCCCCACACACCCTAGGCCCTGCAGCCACCTCGGCTGCCGGATTACATCCATGGACTTGTATAGTTAATGGTTGTTAGTAAATAAAACATACTTTCTACAAACAGAATTTTTTTTTTAAGTTTTCGATTTATTTCAAAGGCACACAGGAATCTCTGATTCCGATATTTACTTCCCAGATATCTGTGCCAGCTGAACCCCAGGTCCCCAGGTGAGTGGCAGTGACGCAGCCATTCAAGCCATCACCTGCTGACACTCCAGGGCGCAGGGCCCCTTACCCAGGCTGGTGGATGAAGAACCAAGTGTCACAAGAGGGGCGTTCTTACCAGCTGCACCCCTCGCCCTCCCCCCCAAAAGTGTTTTTAAGACTCATCTACTTTGTGGTCTTCCCCTCTGTAAGCCTCAGTCCAGCGCCCCCACAGAAGATGGGACATAATGGGGTGGTTGGGGTGGGAACAGGGTCCCCAGGATGGGTGATGGCGGCAGTGCAGGGAATGGATCTGCTGCCCTCGTGTGGTGTGTGTGACTCCTGCGGCTCTGAGAACTCGGTCCCCTGTGTCCCTCCCCACCACCGGCTGCCTGTCATGTAGTCTGTCACCCAGAGGAGACCCTGAAGTTTCTGAAACTCCATCTTAAACTCACCTCTGCCCTCCAGGCCTGAGACTCCTCACGCTGGAGAATACAAAGATGGGGCAAGTTCCCACTTGACCCCTGGGACACACCGGGTTGCTCTCAAGGACCCGAGGGGACATTAGGGACACGTGGACAACGCCAACCCTGCCAGGCATGGCCAGGCAACCCAAGGAGGCCCCCACACGGGTCCATCAGCCATGGGC